GTGGGTAGAAAGTGAATCACTGGAAATTAGCAATATTTTTCTCGAAGCACATGTCCTTGCAGAGGAAAAATGAATCACTCCGCTTGAGTAACTTCACACAAGGGTCTTTTCCAATCACATATTTGGGGGCTCCAATAGCCCCAGGTCGTTTATGTGTCAGACATTTCGAGCCGCTGATTATGAAGGTGAGAAAGAAAATATCTGGCTAGAAATCTTTACTCTTATCAGTTGGAGGAAGATTAACTCTTGTAAAGCATGTTCTTTTAAGTATGCCTATACATATCTTATCGGTTATTTGCGTACCTCAAGGGGTTATTCATCAAATTCATTCTTTAATCTCAAATTTTATTTGGGGAGAGGCAGATGGTAAAGCAAAGCGACATTGGGTAAGCTTTGGAAAAATTACCAAACCATTATCAGAAGGAGCATTAGGCATTCAAGACTTAACAGAAGTACAAGTGGCTCTAAAAACAAGATTTGCTTGGAAAATTTGTTTCTCTGTTTCTCTACTACAAGAGTTCCTAAAAGCAAAATATTTTCCACACAATTCATACAACGAGATCTAGATATCAGCCTTAAACTCACCTTTTTGGAAGAGCATAGCAAGTTTGATACCTACGGTAATTGAAAATTCGGTCTGGCAAGAAAATTGGTCTGGTCTAGGACCATTAGCAAACCTGGTGGAGGTAGTGGAACCTGATTTGAGGCTAAATGCGATGGTGACCACAAGGGGGTGGAATGAAGATGTCTTATCAGAATTAATCGGGAATGATTTAGCTAAAGCTGCTATAGACTTTGTTCCAAAGTTACGTGAATGAGTGGATACAATTGTTTGGAAACCCTCTCCAGATGGCTTTTTCAGCACTGGGAATACTTGGGAACTCATTCGAGACAAACGGGAGAGTGTAGATTGGGATAAATGGGTATGGCATCCACTAATTCCAAAAAGAATCTCTTTCATTACTTGGAAAGCTATATAGAATGCACTCGTTGTGGATGAAAAAATATAAATGGTGAGGATCTCCTTAGCATCAAAATGTGTATGTTGTGTTACACCTCACTGTGAGTCTCTCAACCATTTGTTGTATGGCAGCGACCTAGCAAAATTTCTTTGGAATCAGATATCGACGACGACAGGCATCACTAACACTCCATCTTTGGGCTGGAGACAAAGAATGAATTTCTGGTTCTCCAAGGCATCAAAATGTCCCAAGTAGGCATGATTATTGGCTTTTCTCCTGTTCTGATTTTTTGGGTGATTTGGACAGCAGGGTGCAGAAAAAAGATGGAAGGTGTGGACATTAATTATGATCAGATTTGGGCTTTAGTAAAGTGGTGGTTGGGTGAACTATGTGCCAATGCGGCTAAGGTATCTAGACTATCTTCGTCTGATTGTATTGCACTATGAACTTTGGGAATCCAAATCAGAAAACCACATAATAAAGTCACTAAATTTGTCCGTTGGATACCTCCTCTCCGTACCAGGGTTGAATTAAACATTGATGGATGTTGCATAGGAAATCCTGGTAATTGTGGTGGAGGTGGAGGTGAAGGGATCAGGGGGGATAATGGAGAGTTCATCTATGCTTTTCACACTTTCTATGGTCACGGTACTAATACATGGGCGGAGCTAAAAGTTGTTTTAGAAGGCATCCACATATGTGTAGAACGAAATTTCCCAAAGATTATAATCGAAAGTGATTCTCAAGTCGTTGTGAACTGGTTCCTCAATAAATGATGTACAGGATGGAAATTTGGAAAGCATGGGAGGAGATAAATGATCTCATGATTGGAAGAGAAGTGGTGTTCAGACATGTTTTCCGGAAAGCAAATCAAGTTGTAGACGCATTATCTAAAATAGGTGGAAATGGAAGCACGGAAACATTTCGTGATATGGCAGATCTTCCTAGGGCTGTTACCAAGTTATTTATATTAAATAGAAATCATTTTCCATATGTACGACATTAATAAAAGTGTCTATAAAGTGAATTTGTAATATGGAGTTTGTATTCATGGTATTCCTCCGTCATATGTGAGGGCTGATCTATAAAATCTGGAGTTTGTTTTAAAAAAATGGAGAAAACCTTGATCCATTTGGCTGTCGTTCAGATATTATTGGATAGAAGGTGTTGAAATAGAGAGTAGGAGTAATGTTGTTACTGAGGACAGCATGATTGGCTCGTGGTTACTAGGGTGTGGAGGGACGATATCCCTGAGAACCTTGAGGACAATGTGTTAGGGATTTTTGATTAGTAGCTAAAACATCGAGCATCGTTTGGCAGTGTGTCCTTGAATGCAGCATGCTTGACAACGACCCAAATAAGGTTTGGGTTGGTATTGATCATGAGGAGAAACCATAGTGGTAGGGCTTGGTTGTTGTGGATTGGCAGTTGGTGGACGTAAATTTGGACGATTCCAGAAGGCTGTGGGATTTGCCGTTGCTGGTAATCATAGAAAAGATGGTTGAGCATTCTGAAGAGATGCTTTTTTGTTGAGAAGTTTCTCATGGAGTTTAGCAAAATAAGTTGATGTGTCACGGGCATCAATTACATCAATGACGGATTTGTACTCATCGCTGAGTTCTTCGAGATCCCAATCAATAAGATCCTCATCATCAACTGGCTTCCCCAGAAGAGCGAGTTCATCGGCACGAGTCTATAACGCCTGCATATATTCACTAATTGATGTTGAGCCCTTGCTACACCACTATAATTGTTCCTTCAATAGTTTAATATGACCACGAGATGGTTTAGCGTAGGTATGAGCTAAGGTTTGCCATGCATCAAGGGAAGTGATGGTGTGGGCAATAAGCAGTTGCAGTGAAACGGAGAAAGCACCAAGGAGAGCGCTAAAGATGAGACGATCTTGATGCTTCCAGGTTGTGTATGCTGGATTTGGGGATGCAATACCATTGTCAGTGATAGTGGGTGGTGGTGGAGTGTGAGTGCCATCAATGAAGTGATGAAGATCCTAACCTTCAAGAAGAGATTGGATTTGAAGGCTCCATGTGAGATAATCGGTGGATGATAATTTGGTGATATTGGAGAGATTGTTTGTAAGGAGAGGATGATGAGGATCCTGGGAGTTTTGGATGGTGATAGGGTCGTTGGTGGATCTTGGATTTGGAGACTTTTACTAAAGACTTTTAAAGACTTTTGGGGAATTTTTTTTTTTTTTTTTTTTTTTTTTTTTTTTTTTTTTTTTTTTTTTTTGAAGGATCCTGATCGTGACTGTCTGGAAAAAAAAATACTCCCAAAGGGATTAGGCTATTGATACCATGTTGAAATAGAGAGAGGAATATTGAGAAACAATGGCTTGACTTTTCCATTGATTGATAATGAATATATATACACAAAATTGGGCATTGCCGTGAGTTACCCAAAACACAAAAATAAGAAACTATCCTAGAATTGGGGACTATAACTAATTATAGGGATAAACTATCCTAGAGTTAGGGAATTAGTTTACAGCTAATTACAGAAATTTAAAATATGGAGAAAATATGTTCTAATTAATTCTCTAATAGAAGGTTTATATGGCAAAAAATAAGACTTCAATTTGTGCACTTCACAATTGGATCTACTTACTCCTTTGAAGTTCCAGTTGGATCCATTTACCAGGTTTATTCACTTGTAAGTATGCAAGATAGTTTGACATGTGTTGTAAATCAAAAGTGTGAAGTATGTATATGGATAACAAAGAAGAATGGACTAAAGTTCATGAGATCAAAGATATTTGACAAAGGATAAACATGCAGAGTCATAATCTCCTTGACATTGGCTGGTTTGTGTTGTGGCCTATAGTGTCAAAACCAGATAAGCATGCTTGTTGGCGAAAATAGAATTCTTGCTCGTGATGGTCAAATTCGCACAAATTCTTGTCTTTTAGAATGTATTGTTTCTTTGACACATTCCATCTCTTTGTACTGGACAGTCAGATTCACATGAGTAGGCATGGCCAAAAACATTATTATCCGCAGCTCAATTCCTAACTTGAAAGTTCACAGTCTAGATATCTTAGGGATGTCCATTGGCAAATTCCTTTGTGTGAACTTCTGTATTCTTTTCATCATTCATCCTTCCCTGCCATTTGGACCAAGAGCAAGACTATAAAATGAGTAATGATGTTAAGTACTACTAGTGTCAATAGGTCCGTCGAGTCAGGTGGGTCGATCTGAATATTTTAATACTCGAAACCTCTTATTATACTTCAAATATTTCGTAAATAAAACCATTCGAGTCCTTGTAATTATTGAAACCAAACCCAAACACAAATTGTCGGTTTCAGATCGAGTTTAGTTCTACCCATTTGGTTTTTTGTCTATACATTTAATAAATATTTTCATATAGGTCCTTTTGATACATATACTTAACAATGATAAACTCGACAATATGTGCAATGGAAAAAATCTAGCTAAGAAATCTTCAAGAAGCTTAGAAATTCAGCTACATGACTCAAAAAAGTAAAGACTAAAATCCACAAAAAGGGGGAGAAAATTAAAACATCAAAAATTAAATTACATTTTGAGAAGAAATGAATTTTTCTTAATAAAGTGAAGATTATCAAGGGACGTTTTCACCTGTGGCCAAGTTTAACACAATCAGTGTCTTATTATCACTTGCAACAAATTTAGACTGGCCATTACAACTATTCAATGCAAAAAATGCCTTTCTCAATGGCAATCTAGAGGAAGAAGTCTACATGGAGGTTACGAGGCTATACGGCTTCTTCAAACACACCAGTGGTGTGTAAATTACAGAGAGCTCTCTATGGATTGAAATAATTGCCTAGAGCATGGTTCAGAAGATTTTGCTTGGCAATGAAGAAGTATGGCTTCCAATAGAGTAATTCAGACCACACTCTCTTTCTGAAGCATCGAATGGGCAAAATAACAGCTTTGATAGTTTATGTTGATGATATGATAATTACAGGGATGATACAGAAGAAATATCTCAACTTCAAAAAAGATTAGCTACTAAATTTGAGATGAAGAACTTGGGATGACTAAAATATTTCCTGGGAATAGAGGTAGCCAGGTCTAAACGTGGCATATTCCTTTCACAAAGGAAATATATTCTAGATTTGCTATCTAAAATAGGAATGCTAGAATGTAAGCCTACGGACACTCCAATGATACAAACCACAAACTGGGTGAATATTCGGACCAAGTAACAACGGATAAGGGAAGATATCAAAGATTAGTTGGCAAGCTAATTTATCTCTTTCATACTCGACCTGACATTGTTTATGCTGTAAGCATAGTTAGTAAGTTTATGCACTGCCCAAGCAAGGATCATATGGATGCTGTAATTCGCATATTACTATACTTGAAGGGTTCTGCTGGAAAGGGGATCATGTTTTCAAAAAACCATCACTTGAGGATTGATGGCTATACGGATGCAAATTGGGCATTAAATCTCTCAGAAAGAAAGTCTACTTCGGGTTATTTCACATTTGTTAGTGAAAATCTAGTTACATGGAGGAGTAAAAAATAAAAAGTGGTAGCACTGTCAAGTGCAGAGGTGGAGTTCCGTTGAATGGCCAAAGGACTATGTGAGCCACTTTGGCTCAAACAGTTACTAACAGAGATTGGTTTTGCTTCTACATCAGAGATGAATCTTTTTCGTGATAATAAAGTTGCCATTGACATATCTCATAACCTAGTTCAACATGATAGAACTAATTATGTGGAAATGAATAGACACTTTATCAAAGAAAACCTCGAAGCCAAGATCATCAAATTTCAATTTGTAAAGTCTGAAGACCAACTAGCAGACATCCTTACAAAGGCTGTCTCAAATAAGGATTTTCACAACTCACTTGACAAGTTGCGCTTAGAGATCTCAACTTGAGGGGAAGTGTTGGAATGAGTCATTAATTAGAGAGAAATCAGGGAGATTGGAGGCCATTTAGCCATAAAATCTGTACAGCTAAGAATAGATTCAACATTTTGCCTATATATTTTTTATATTGATTCATTGTAAACTAGAACATTGAGAAATAATACAAAACACAAGTTCTAACACTTTATAGGTTAAAGAGAGAGCCCTTGAAAATCACGGTGATGATTAGAATTCTTTAATAAAAGACTGAACGAGCTTGGCTAAAGTTCTGATTCAATAAAACCTGATGTTAAGGAAAGATATGGCAGATTCGAAATTATATGAAAGATGTGCGTGCAGGCATCATATCTAAAACTTTGAAATTTTTATAGATTTTATGATTCTCTTTTAGTTATTTACTGACCATAGACTCTCCATCTTGATCTCAACTCAATCTGTCTAATTAATTTTATAGTTGAATAGCATGCACGGAGATTTTTATAGTTACCTTTCATTCTCGTTGTGTGGGAGTGAATTGTGCGTGTTAATGGCTTATTTACTAATTTTGTAATAAAATGTTTACTCATAAGAGACCCAGTCTTACGATTTCAAAGAACTTTTTAAGGCAAATAATTCACAAAGAAAATGCAGCTAGCAAAAATTGTATAGTAAGATATCAGCACGAGGAATTCTTCCCTTCCTAGGCTCCATGTTCACCTAGAATTGGCTACTTCTTTGTTTTTTCTCCTTTTGAACAGATTAATCCACTGTACAATGGATTCTCCAATCAATTGAATATTTATACAAGTTCATACATAGTTAGATCCCAATTACCTCATGATTGCCAGCAATTTCTCGCACAACTTCATCCTTTTTGCTCAGGCATATCATTTTCAATGGCAAAAGCAAGAAGCAATCAGCATAGACTTTGGAATAGCTACATCATAGGAAAGAATGCCGGCCATGGAAAGGGAACAGAAACCATGCATCCAGTAGCACCAGGTGCTGGCAGAAAGCATCACCAATCCAATTGTGTGATTGCTCCACTTTGCATCAACCTATACAATTTGGACTGCGTTTCATAATCACAATGTATCGCGTTATTGTATTTCTAGTTAATATCCTCTCTCTGTATACTATCATGACTGATGATCTCTCTTGCTCATGTGTTTTTGGAAGTAGATAAAAGTATATCATGAGCTTATCACCTTTGCTAGTATGGTTAGACTAATTAATTCATGACTTTGTTGTAAATTTATAGGTTTTAAAAAGAGCCGTTCGAGATTATGGTGATGATTCTCCAATAAAAAGATTGAATGAATTTGGCTTACGTACTGATGCTTAGGATTCTTTAAGGATTGAACAAGCTTGGCTTAAGTACTGGTGCAATAAAATCTGATGTTACCCAGGGAAATGATACCCAATTTTAATTCAAGATGCTTCTATCTGTAGCTTTGTTATATGTTATCCTGCTTACGGAGCTTTCTTTAATAATTTGAGATGTTTCTATGTATTTGTTCTTCGAGAAATGTTTAAGGATATTCAGTGAGTCCATGCCAAATGTGGCAGATTTGAAATTATATGAAAGACGTGCGTGCCGGCATCATATCTAAAGCTTTGAAATTTTTATAGATTTTATTATTCTTTTATAGTCATTTATCGGCCATAGATCCTCCATTTTGATCTCAACTCAATCTGTCTAATTACTTTTATGGTTGAACAACATACACGGAAATTTTTATAGTTCTTTGTCATTCTCTGTGTAAGAGTGAATCGCGCATGTGTCAATGACGTATTTACTAATTTTGTAATAAAATGTTTACTCATAAGAGACCCAACATGACGATTTCAAAAAAATTCTTAAGGCAAATCACAAAGAAAATGCAAGAGCAAGTAAAAATTGTATAGCAAGATATTAGCACGAGGAATTCTTCTCCTCCTAGATGTTCACTGAGAACTGGCTACTTCTTCGTTTGATCTCCTTCTGAACAGATTAATCCACTTTACAAAGGATTTTCCAATCAATCGAATATTTATACAAGTTTGTACATCAGCTAGTCCCTACTTACCTCTTGATTGCCAACAATTTCTCTCCCAATGTCATCCTTTTGGTTCAAGCATATCAATTTCAATGGCAAAATCAAGAAGCAAATGTCATAGACTTTTGAATAGCTGCATCAGAGGGAAGAATGCCAGCCTTGCAAAGGGAACAGAAACATGCATCCAGTAGCTCCAGGTACTGGCAAAAAGCATCGACAATCCAATTGTGTGATTGCTCCATTTTGCATCAATCTATACAGTTTTTTACTGCATTTCATAATCACCATGCATTATGTTATTGTGTTTCAATTCAATAATCTCTCTTTGTATAATATTGTGATTGATGATCTTTCTTGTTCACATGTTTTTTGAAGTAGGTAAAAGTATGTCATGAGCTTATCACCTTTGTATGTATGAGCTTATCACCTTTGTATGTTTGGTTAGACTAATTAATTCATGAAATTGTCATAAATTTATAGTTTTAGAGAGAGTTGTTCGAGATTATGGTGATGATTCTCTTATAAAAAGACTGAACGAGCTTGGCTTAAGTACTAATGCTTAGGATTCTTTAATGATTAACCAAACTTGGGTTAAGCACTGATGCAATAAAATCTGATGTTACCCAGGGAAATGATACCCAATTTTAATTCAAGATGCTTCTATCTGTAGCTTTGTTATCTGTTATACCTATCTGCAGAGCTTTCTTTAATGATTTGAGATGCTTCTACATATTTGTTCTTCGAGAAATGGTTAAGGATACTCAATGAATCCATGTCAAATGCCGAAAATTTGAAATTTATCTAAAAGATGTGTTTGCACGCAACATATCTAAAGATTTGAAATATTTTATTGATTTGATATTATGTGTATAGACTTCTTGTTAAGAGTCATTTATTGACCATGCACCCTCTATCTTGATCTCAACTCAATTTATCTTATTATTTTTGTAGTCGATTTTATAGTTCTCTTTCATTCTCCTTGCGTGTGCATGAATAGTGCACTGTGTGTGTTAGTGATTTATTTACTAATTTAGTAAATTAAATCTTACTCATATGATAAGCCAGCATTAACATACGTTTTCATTGAACCTTTAAGGCAAATAAATAACAAAGAGAACGCAACAAGCAAAAATTAGAAAGACAGAAACCAGCGCAAGCAATTCTACCATTCCTAGGCCCGAAGTTCAACCGGGACAAGTTACTTCTTTGTTCGATCTCTGTCTGAACAAATTAATCCTCTTTGCATTGGATTCTGCAGTTGATTTGTAAAAAAAATGTACAGGAAACAGATTAAATGATGTATGGATGTCATGGCTTCTTGGTGATGGATTTGGAGCCACTCATGGAATGATGAGAAATAATCTCATCTGGATTGTTTCAAGAATTAAAGTTCAAGTGGATCCATCATTATCCAATCTGGTATTGAACTACACTATATATATAAACATATATATTCAAATGACACTAGCACTGAATTTCTGAGCAATATGTGCAATAGAAAGATTTACATCATTACTTGCAAAAGTTCCATTAAATGCTATGGCTGAATCTTACACATAATAAGAAACTTCTGTGGATAGAAACTGCTAAACACTTTATGATTTAGTTCTTTGTAATATTTTGTGCATACATACTATGAACATAAAATTCTTGCTCTCTCATTTATTCTCTACTGGAATGAAGATATCAGAAATTATATTACTCATTTCTCAAAATGAACTTCATTATTTTTCTCTCATTTATTATTGGAATGAATTTATTACTCACTTCTCAAATTTGGTGCTTTTACAGTACGAGGAAGTAATGAAGTTCATCTCAATAGCCACCATCATGCATGGGGTGAACACCCGTAAGTAAAATTCCTTAATCATAGTGATGCAGGATGTGAATAACTTGTTAAAAAATAATTGAAAATTAAGATTGAAAGGGTGCCGAAGACGAGAAGAATTGAGGGCAAGAGGAAAAATCAATCTTTATTCATATAATCAAGGTTGTGAATTACAATGAACTACATCCTCTATTTATAGGGCAGTAAAGTCAAGGTAGTTAAAAAGGAAACAAGCTCCGAATTATATTAAAATATTGAACAAAACTTATCTAATCTACTTAGAATTAAACACAATTTAAAACTTTTATTTAAACTATAATTCTATATTTTTATTCCTATCTTGACCTCCACCATTTCTTCCCAGCTAGGAAAACTCGACTCTGGCGAGGTAGACTCGAACTTTATACTCCAAGAAGGTCTATCTTTTGTCTTGACCACATGCCTATATTGAACCTTGCAGAACATCTTGCTGAACTCATACCAAGGAGGACAATCTTTCTTATTAACCAAATTGATGCGAGATGCGAATAACTTGTTAAAGAATAATCGAAGATTAAGAAAAGAAAGAAGTCTAAGAAGAGAAGACTTGAAGGTAAGAGAAAAATTCAATCTTTATTTATATAATCAAGGTTGTGAATTACAATGAATAATGCCCACTATTTATAGAGTAATAAACTCAAAGAAGTTAAACTTCTAATAATATTAATATCAAAACAAATCTTATCTAATCTAATTAGAATTAATCCCAATTTAAAATTTCTGTTTAAACTATAACTCTATATTCTTGTCTTGACCACATGCTTATA